GCGACTTGCAGCGATTTGAGGTGCGATTTACAAGGCCTCTGCCTGGATGTCTAGGCAAGTCGCAGCTGAAGTAGCGCATGGACTGCTTCAGGAATCAGTTTCGATACGACCGCTGTCATTGCGGACAATAGGGTTGACTTGCCGTGCGATTTTTTTCAAGCCGTATGGCGTGCGAATCGCATGCCAAGTCACACCGTTCCGACTTTGAAATCGTGCGACTTTACAGTGAATGTCGGATGTCATTCTGCCCGGATGTCTAGGCAAGTCGCACCTGAAGTTGTGCATGCGCTACTTTAGAAATTGGTGCGGCTCCGATAAAACCGTTGTAATTTCAGACAACAGGGTGCGACTTGCCATGCGATTTGCAAAGCAAAGTCGCACGATTTCAAAGTCGGATGTCATTCCAGCTTGAGGTGCGATTTGCAAGACATCTGACGCAGAAGTCGCACCAAAAGTAGTGCATGCGCTTCTTTAGAAATCAGTGCAGCTCCGACCAAGTTGGAATCGCACCGTGAGGACCGCTGTAACTATGGACTATGCGACTCGCCACAATAGGGTGCGACTCGCCATGCGATTTTTTTCAAGCTGTATGGTGTGCGACTCGCCATGCGATTTTTTTCAAGCTGTCAAGCTGTATGGTGTGCGACTCGCCATGTGATTTTTTCAAGCCGCATGGCATGCATATTGCACGCCAAGTCACACCAGTCCAACTTTGAACCATGCGACTTCCAGCAAAGTCGCACGATTTCAAAGTTGGATGTCATTCTGGCTGGAGGTGCGATTTGCAAGACATCTGACGCAGATGCGAGTCGCCCCTGAAGTAGCGCACGGACCACTTTAGAAATCAATGCGGCTCCAACTGAGTTGGAATCGCACCGATACGACAGCTGTAATTGCAGACAATAGGGTGCGACTCGCCATGCGATTTTTCAAGCCGTACGGCATGCAAATCGCACGCCAAGTCACACCGATCCAGCTTTGAGATCCTGCGACTTCCAGCGAAGTCGCACGATTTCCAAGTCGGATGTCATTCTGGCTGGAGGTGCGATTTGCAAGGTGTCTGATGCAGAGGTCCAGGCGAGTCGCCCCTGAAGTCGCTATTTTAAAAAATCATCGCGGCTCCGACCAATCGGAATCGCACCAATATGACAGCTTTGATTGCGGACAATGGAGTGCGACTTGCCATGCGATTTGAAACACGCATGGCATGGCAAACCGCATGACAAGTCGCACCCCGTGTGACCGGGGTGTTAAAGTACATGTAGGGGGGGGGAGGGGGGTCAAAACAGCTGGGAAAAGAGCTGTACGCAGCATTTAGAAGTGTTAGAAGTGGCAGTAAAACCCTGCGATTGAGACATGTTTTTTCCACCCCTGAGTTCCCCCCCCCTTCCCCTTTATCTGGGGGTACCTATGTCTCACCTCAGGGCCACAGCAGGAAATACATCCCCTGGGGCACATGTAAGTGAATGGGGAGATTGGGAACGCCAAAGGGTTCAACAAAGGAGCAAATCCCCCCCCCCCCCCCCGTCCATCCGAACAAATGATACAATGTATCGCTGAAGGGACCAGGATTCCTCCACGGGGGGGGGGGGGGGGGGAGGGGGGCACCGCACTGTCCTTCAGACTTTAGGGGGACCATTGAAAGTAGAAAATGTTCAGTTGGAGTAAACAAAGTCCCATCCTTGGTGTCAGTGAGAGGAATAGTGCCCCATCATTGGTGTCAGTGGGAGGAATAGTGCTCCATCATTGGTGTCAGTGGGAGGAATAGTGCCCCATCATTGGTGTCAGTGGGAGGAATAGTGCCCCATCATTGGTGTCAGTGGGAGGAATAGTGCCCCATCATTGGTGTCAGTGGGGGAGGAAGGAATAGTGCCCCATCATTGGTGTCAGTGGGAGGAATAGTGCCCCATCATCTGTGTCAGTGGGAGGAATAGTGCCCCATCATTGGTGTCAGTGGGAGGAATAGTGCCCCATCCCATCATTGGTGTCAGTGGGGGAGGAATAGTGCCCCATCATTGGTGTCAGTGGGAGGAATAGTGGGAGGAATAGTGCCCCATCATTGGTGTCAGTGGGAGGAATAGTGCCCCATCATTGGTGTCAGTGGGAGGAATAGTGTGCCCCATCATTGGTGTCAGTGGGAGGAATAGTGCCCCATCATTGGTGTCAGTGGGAGGAATAGTGCCCCATCATTGGTGTCAGTGGGAGGAATAGCGCCCCATCCTTGGTGTCAGTGGGAGGAATAGCACCCCATCATTGGTGTCAGTGGGGAATAGGCCCATCATTGGTGTCAGTGGCAGGAATAGCGCCCCCCATCATTGGTGTCAGTGGGAGGGAATAGTGTCCCATCATTGGTGTCAGTGGGAGGAATAGCGCCCCATCCTTGGTGTCAGTGGGAGGAAATAGCACCCCATCATTGGTATCAGTGGCAGGAATAGCGCCCCATCCTTGGTGTCAGTGGGAGGAATAGTGTCCCATCATTGGTGTCAGTGGGAGGAATAGTGTGCCCCATCATTGGTGTCAGTGGGAGGAATAGTGTCCCATCATTGGTGTCAGTGGGAGGAATAGTGCCCCATCATTGGTATCAGTGGGAGGAATAGTGCCCCATCATTGGTGTCAGTGGGAGGAATAGTGCTCCATTGTTGGTGTCAGTGGGAGGAATAGTGTCCCATCATTGGTGTCAGTGGGAGGAATACTGTGCCCCATCATTGGTGTCATTGGAAGGTATTGTACCCCATTGTTGGTGTCAGTGAATGAAATAGTGTCCTAAGGGCCGGATAAAGGCAAGCAAAGGGCCACATCGGGCCCCCAGTTTGGAGCCCCCGGGTCTATGGCTTTGCGGTGATACATTGTTTCCATTGCTATCCACGCACCTCTAATAAAAGCCAGGCCGGGGGGGGGGAGGGGGGGGGAAATCACTCCAATTATCCTGATAGGATAATGACCCAAAGCCCCGCCCCCGTACATGACCTTCACGGCATCCATAATGAGCACCAAAGGACCACCTCGGCATGCCCAATGGCCTAATGCAAAAAATCTGCGTGGCTGCGAGTGTCCGCAGTGGGAAGCCCCCCCCCCCCCGTGGTGGCCGGGGTCATGGCTCCAGGGGGGGCCGCACACGCCTGACACCTTCCGCCAGACGTCTGGATATCAGAGCTGCCTTTGAAGTGGGTGACACCGAGGGCAGAGGAGACCCCCCCCCCCCCCCCCCCCCCCTCTGGGGGCACAAATATTTCCCTTTCATCCCATCACTGCCTATATCATCCAGAATGTATGGCCGGGTTGGGTCTCAGAGTCTTCGCCATGATTTGTGAGCCCATCACTTCCTGTCCCTGTGACACCCATACAGGAAGAGAGGGAGAGGTTGTCACCGGGACGGGGAGTCGGACAGAAAAGGCTTTTTTTTTTTTGTCTTTGCATATTGGATAGATTTTCCATCACTTCCTGTCCTAACAGGAAATCTCCTGATGGGGACACAAGTGGGGACGGGCGCTGCAGCCTTTGCATACGGTCAGTACTGGAGGGAGCCTGAAGCAGTGGTTTCCCCGAGGTCAGTACTGGAGGGAGCCTGAAGCAGCGGTTTCCCCGAGGTCAGTACTGGAGGGAACCTGAAGCAGCAGTTTCCCTGAGGTCAGTACTGGAGGGAGCCTGAAGCAGCGGTTTCCCCGAGGTCAGTACTGGAGGGACATTGAAGCAGTTGTTTCCCCAAGGCCAGTACTGGAGGGAGCCTGAAGCAGCGGTTTCCCCGAGGTCAGTACTGGACGGAACCTGAAGCAGCGGTTTCCCCGAGGTCAGTACTGGAGGGAGCCTGAAGCAGCGGTTTCGATTCAAGGTCAGTACTGGAGGGAGCCTGAAGCAGCGGTTTCCCCGAGGTCAGTACTGGAGGGAGCCTGAAGCAGCGTTTTCCCCGAGGTCAGTACTGGAGGGAGCTTGAAGCAGCGGTGATGGAGGTTTCCCCGAGGTCAGTACTGGAGGGAGCCTGAAGCAGCGGTTTCCCCGATCGGGGGTCAGTACTGGAGGGAGCCTGAAGCAGCGGTTTCCCCGAGGTCAGTAGTGGAGGGAGCCTGAAGCAGCGGTTTCCCCGAGGTCAGTACTGGAGGGAGCCTGAAGCAGCGGTTTCCCCGAGGTCAGTACTGAAGGGACATTGAAGCAGCGGTTTCCCCGAGGTCAGTACTGGAGGGAGACTGTAGCAGCGGTTTCAGAAATATGACAGGAAGACTCTGACAACCCATCAGATCTCAATGGGGAGGAATCTCCTGCTGGATCTCTATCCTGACATGGACGGGGGATGGGTGAGGAATGTAAGGACGCCCCATTGTTTGATGGAAATGATCGACCTACAGAGGACTGAAGGATCGGGGGGTCACACAGACACCCCGAAAATCAAAGTGAAGAAATGATGCAGCAGGCGAGTCCATGTTGGTGAAATGTCATTGCAGCAACTCAGAATGGCCCTCAGTAGTCTGTATGGCCCCCACGTGCTTGTATGCATGCCTGACAACATCGAGGGGAGGGTCCTAATGAGACCACGGATGGTGTCCTGGGGGATTTCCTCCCAGATCTGGACCATCACTGAGCTCCTGGACAGTCTGAGGTGCAACCTGGCGGGTCGGATGGACCGAAACAGGACATCCCAGAGGGGTCCCTATTGGATTTAGGTCAGGGGGGTGTGGGGGCCATTCAGGGGTCATACTGATGAGGGGTAACAATGGGGGTGATGGAGGTCCTGTACCCCTGGGATCGGGGGGTCACATGGGGGGTCACACTGATGAGGGGTGATGATGGAGGTCCTGTACCCCTGGGATCGGGGGGTCACACTGATGAGGGGTGATGGCGGTCCCGTACCCCTAGGATCGGGGGTCACATGGGGGGTCACACTGATGACACCCCCATACATTCCTCTTCTCGGTGTCACTGATAATGAAGACACTCTGAGCACTAAGCGGGTCACGTGACTCGGAGGGGGTGTGGCTGTGCGGATCCGCTCTCGTGACGTCACCAAGATGGCGCTGCCCATGGTCCGGCGTGCGGTGGTGTTCCGGGTGCGGGGAGGACACCGGGCTGTGAGCAGTGAGAGCCCCACCGGGCCCCAGGTAGCCCCAACCTCACCTACACCCGCTGTGATCTGTGTGTCTGTCTTGTATCACCGACAGGGACCGGAGAGAGCGTGCTGGGACTTGTAGTCCTCCGCTAATGACCATACGGGTGCTGTATGGTCATTATAGGAGGGCTACAAGTCCCAGCATGTCCCGTATGGTCATTATAGGACTACAAGTCCCAGCGTGCCCCGTATGGTCATTATAGGACTATAAGTCCCAGCATGTCCCGTATGGTCATTATAGGAGGACTACAAGTCCCAGCATGTCCCGTATGGTCATTATAGGAGGACTACAAGTCCCAGCGTGTCCCGTATGGTCATTATAGGACTACAAGTCCCAGCGTGTCCCGTATGGTCATTATAGGAGGACTACAAGTCCCAGCGTGTCCCGTATGGTCATTATAGGACTACAAGTCCCAGCGTGTCCCGTATGGTCATTATAGGAGGACTACAAGTCCCAGCATGTCCCGTATGGTCATTATAGGACTACAAGTCCCAGCGTGCCCCGTATGGTCATTATAGGAGGACTACAAGTCCCAGCGTGTCCCCCCGTATGGTCATTATAGGACTACAAGTCCCAGCGTGTCCCGTATGGTCATTATAGGAGGACTACAAGTCCCAGCATGTCCCGTATGGTCATTATAGGAGGACTACAAGTCCCAGCATGTCCCGTATGGTCATTATAGGAGGACTACAAGTCCCAGCATGTCCCGTATGGTCATTATAGGAGGACTACAAGTCCCAGCGTGTCCCGTATGGTCATTATAGGAGGACTACAAGTCCCAGCGTGCCCCGTATGGTCATTATAGGACTACAAGTCCCAGCATGCCCCGTATGGTCATTATAGGACTACAAGTCCCAGCGTGTCCCGTATGGTCATTATAGGAGGACTACAAGTCCCAGCGTGCCCCGTGTGGTCATTATATAGGAGGACTACAAGTCCCAGCGTGTCCCGTATGGTCATTATAGGAGGACTACAAGTCCCAGCGTGCCCCGTGTGGTCATTATAGGAGGACTACAAGTCCCAGCGTGCCCCGTATGGTCACTATAGGAGGACTACAAGTCCCAGCATTTCCTGTATGGACTGACCCACGGGTGGAGCACAGATGGAGACTGACCTGTAGGAAGAGCCCCCTCGGTTCCCCCCTCCCCCCATGACACCCTCATTCATCATCGGGGCCCCGTCATGGTGTCACAGGCAGGCCGGTCCCAAGAGCTCGCACTCTAGCAGAGCTGTGAAGTCACAATGTGGGGAGGACAGGCGCTCAGGATGACGCTGGGAGTCGCATCGCCCCTTAGGTGTCATGGCGGTGAGATGGTGTCACACGTTTGCAGCGCACTCGCAGGAAGTCCGTCTTGTGGGGTTGGGATTTCGCGGTGGGAGGAGCCCGGAGGCGGGTGATCGCGGTCGGCTTGTCGGACTTCGCTACGCCGGGGGGATGTTTGTGCAGCTGATACGGGCGTACGGCGGAGGAGGGGTGAGTAGCAAAGCTCCGGCAATGATACCAGCGGGGGGGGGGGGGGGGCGGTACTCCTCCTTCTGGGGGCGCTAAATCCTCCGACCGCCTGCAGACCCCTCTATGGGGAATTGAGCCCAGCATGCCGGCGCTGACCATATAGCCCCTCCCCCCTCTCCTGTAGTAACATTGTTCCTGTTTCTTTGTTGCAGGGTGCCGCCTCCCCCCGCGTCTTCTCTGGGATACAACCCACCGGGATCCCTCACCTGGGCAATTACCTGGGCGCACTCCGGAGCTGGGTGAAGCTGCAGGAGGAGTTCAGCTCGGTACTGTACAGCATTGTGGACCTGCACTCCATCACCGTCCCCCAGGACCCGCGCAGCCTGCGGGAGAGCGTCCTGGACATGACTGCCTGCCTGCTGGCCTGCGGGATAGACCCGGAGAAGAGCGCCCTCTTCCAGCAGTCTCAGGTCAGTGCGGAGGGGGGGGGCCGGGTACGGAGCCGATGTGAGCGGTTCTGTACCGTGTGATCGCTGTGTCGTGTACAGATCTGTACCAGATCACTGGCTCTGTACCATGTGATCGCTGTGTCGTGTACAGATCTGAGCGGCTCTGTACCATGTGATCACTGTCGTGTACAGAGCTGGTCTGAGCGGCTCTGTACCATGTGATCACTGTGTCCTGTACAGATCTGAGCGGCTCTGTACCATGTGATCGCTGTCGTGTACAGACCCGGTCTTAGCGACTCTTTACTATGTGATCGCAGTGTCCTGTACAGATCTGAGCGGCTCTGTACCGTGTGATCGCTGTGTTGTGTACTGCGCCTATTGATGGCCGTGATTGTGAATAGAGCTCTCTGACGATAGCTCACAGACACCATGTACAGAGCCAATCTGAGCGGCTCTGTACCATGTGATCACTGTGTACTGTGTACATTGAAGCTCCTCCTCTTCCTCCCTCCAGGTGCCGGAGCACGCGGAGCTCGGTTGGGTTCTCGGCTGTATGACGTCCATGCCGCGGATCCGCCATTTGCCCCAGTGGAAGGTGAGTGAAGCAAGTCCAATGAGTTGCTTTTGGGGGGAGGAGCTTATGTGTTTATTTGCCCGCCTCCCCGCCGCCGTATTGTGGTTGGAGGCGGGCACCTATTTCTGGAGCACCGTTTATAAACATCAGCTCAGGCGGCCGGTGCGCCTTTTAATGGCTGCGATTGTGAGTGTCATCGGACAGCTCTGTTCTCCGGCACGGTGCACGGAGCAAACCAGAACTGCTCTGTACCTAGTGATCGCTGTGGTAACCAATCACAAAAATCGAAATATTAAAAAATATCAGATGTGGGGGGGGGGGGCAGTGAAAGTAGGTCAGGGCGGCCGTGAAGATCTGTTCTAAATACCACCAAAGGAAAACTATTGGTCAAAAAAATCAGGTTTTTTCTTTTTATAGTTTTTTACATTTTTAATTATATAAATGAAAAAAACACACAAATTCAGCACAAAGTAGTTTTCTTTTGGCGGTATTTGTTCACCACTGTTTGTTTGGGGTTTTTTTTTTGTTTTTTTTAATTTATATAAATGAAAAAAAAAAAAAAACGAAGTTTGAAAGAAAAAATCTACTTTCTGTCATGCAATGTTGTACGCAAATGAAATTTAGATTTTTTTTTTTTCCACATTCAGCACAGAGTTTTCTTTTGGCGGTAATTGTTCACCACTTTTTTTTTTTTTTTAATTTTTAAAAATTTTTTATTATATAAATGAAAAAATACCGAAAAGTTTGAAAAAAAAAATCTACTTTCTGTTATAAAACATCCAATAAAATCAAATCTTTTTTATTTGTTTACCACTGTTTGTTTGGGGTTTTTTTTTTTTTTTTTTTAAATTGTATAAATGAAAAAAATACCGAAAAGTTTGAAAAAAAAAATCTACTTTCTGTTATAAAACATATCTAATAAAATCAAATCTCTTCGTAAATTTATGCAAAAAAGTGTATTTTGCTGCATGTCTTAGATTTTTTTTTTTTTTTAACCAAACATTTCCCACAAATTCAGCACAGATAGTTTTCTTTTGGCGGTAATTGTTCACTTTTTTTTTTAAATTTTTAAAATTTTTTTATTATATAAATAAAAAAATACCAAAAAGTTTGAAAAAAAAAAATCTACTTTCTGTCATGCAATGTTGTACGCAAATGAAATTTAGATTTTTTTTTTTTTCCACATTTCAGAACAGAGTTTTCTTTTGGCGGTAATTGTTCATTTTTTTTTTTTTTAATTTTTAAAATTTTTTAATCATATAAATGAAAAAAAAACACACAAATTCAGCACAAGTAGTTTTTTTTGGCGGTATTTGTTCACCACTTTTTTTGTTTGGGGTTTTTTTTTTTTTTTTTTTTAATTATGTAAATGAAAAAAAAAAAAACGAAGTTTGAAAGAAAAAATCTACTTTGTGTCATGCAATGTTGTACGCAAATGAAATTTAGATTTTTTTTTTTTTTCCACATTCAGCACAGAGTTTTATTTTGGCGGTAATTGTTCACTTTTTTTTTTTTTTTTTTTTTTTTATATTTTTAAAATTTTTTATTATATAAATGAAAAAAAAAATACCGAAAAGTTTGAAAAAAAAAAAAATCTACTTTCTGTTATAAAAAATATCCAATAAAATCAAATCTCTTCGTAAATTTATGCAAAAGTGTATTTTGCTGCATGTCTTAGATTTTTTTTTTTTTTTTTTTTAACCAAACGTTTCCCACAAATTCAGCACAGATAGTTTTCTTTTGGCGGTAATTGTTCACTTTTTTTTTTTTTTTTTTTTACATTTTGAAAAATTTTTATTTAAAAAAATAAAAAAAAGTTTGAAAAAAAAAAATCTACTTTCTGTCATGCAATGTTGTACGCAAATGAAATTTTTTTTTTTATTTTTTAAAATTTTTTTTTTTCAGCACATTTCAGCACAGAGTTTTCTTTTGGCGGTAATTGTTCACCACTTTTTTTTTTTTTTTTTTTAAAAATTTTTTTTTATTATATAAATGAAAAAATACCGAAAAGTTTGAAAAAAAAATCTACTTTCTGTTATAAAACATCCAATAAAATCAAATCTTTTATTTTGTTCACACTTTTTTTTTTTTTTTTTTTTACATTTTGAAAAATTTTTTGTATAAATGAAAAAAAATACCGAAAAGTTTGAAAAAAAAAATCTACTTTCTGTTATAAAACATATCCAATAAAATCAAATCTCTTCGTAAATTTATGCAAAAGTGTATTTTTTGCTGCATGTCTTAGATTTTTTTTTTTTTTTTTTAACCAAACGTTTCCCACAAATTCAGCACAGATAGTTTTCTTTTGGCGGTAATTGTTCACCACTTTTTTTTTTTTTTTTTTTTTTTTTTTTTTACATTTTGAAAAATTTTTTATTATATAAATGAAAAAAAAAAATAACTTTGAAAAAAAAAATCTACTTTGTGTCATGCAATGTTGTACGCAAATGTTCACTTTTTTTTTTAAAATTTTTAAAAATTTTTTTTTTAAAATTTTTGAAAAAAACAAAAAATTTATATATTTTTTTTTTTTTCCACATTCAGCACAGAGTTTTCTTTTGGCGGGTATACCAAAAAGTTTTTTTTCACCACAGAGTTTTTTTTTTTGTTCACCACTTTTTTTTTTTTTTTTTTTTTTAATTTTTTATTATATAAATAAAAAAATACCGAAAAGTGTGGAAAAAAAAATCTACTTTCTGTTATAAAACATCCAATAAAATCAAATCTCTTCGTAAATTTAGAGCAAAGTGTTTTTGCTGCATGTCTTTTTGGTTTAAAAAAAAAAAAAAAAAAAAAAATAAAAATCTAACATTTACCCACCAGCCCTCCGGAAGATTTTACCCCCTTCGTGACCAGGCCATTTTTTTGCTGTTTAGCACAGCGCTGCTTTAGCTGATGTCATGCAACGCTGTACCCAAATGAAATTTTTTTTTTTTTTTTTCGCAGAAATTCAGCACAAGTAGATTTTTTGAGCGGTATTTTATTCACCACTGGGTTTTTTTGGGGTTTTTTTTTACATTTTTAATGATATAAATGAAAAAATACTGAAAAGTTTGAAAAAAAAAATCTACTTTCTGTTATAAAAACATATCCAATAAAATCAAATCTCTTCGTAAATTTATGCAAAAGTGTATTTTGCTGCATGTCTTAGATTTTTTTTTTTTTTTTTAACCAAACGTTTCCCACAAATTCAGCACAGATAGTTTTCTTTTGGCGGTAATTGTTCACCACTTTTTTTTTTTTTTTTTTTTTTTTTTTACAGTTTTGAAAAATTTTTATTATATAAATGAAAAAAAAAATGAAAAAAAAAATCTACTTTGTGTCATGCAATGTTGTACGCAAATGAAATTTATTTTTTTTTTTTTCCACATTCAGCAGAGTTTTCTTTTGGCGGTATTTGTTCACCACTTTTTTTTTTATTTTAATTATATAAATAAAAAAAATACCGAAAAATTTGAAAAAAAAAAATCTACTTTCTGTTATAAAACTGTACAGTCTGATCACTGGGGGAGGGGGAGACTGAGGAAATGCCACCACCTCCTCCTACTCAATTACAGTCTGATTATACTGAGGAAATGCCTCCTCCCCCTTCTACAATGTTACATGTCAGTGATCCCTGGGGGAGGGGAGACTGAGGAAATGCCTCCTCCTCCTTCTACAAAGTTACAATGTACAGTCTGATCACTGGGGGAGGGGAGACTGAGGAAACGCCTCCTCCTCCTCTACAAAGTTACAATGTACAGTCTGATCACTGGGGGAGGGGAGAGGGGAGCCTCCTCCTCCTACAAAGTTACAATGTACAGTCTGATGCTGGGGGAGGGGAGACTGAGGACACGCCTCCTCCTCCTTCTACAAAGTTACAATGTACAGTCTGATCACTGGGGGAGGGGAGACTGAGGAAATACCTCCTCTTTCTACAAAGTTACAATGTACAGTCTGATCACGGGGGGGGGGAGACTGAGGAAATACCTCCTCCTTCTACAAAGTTACAATGTACAGTCTGATCACTATAGCAAAAAGTCCAAAATGTTGTTGTTTTTTTTAAATTTTCAGTATTTTTTTTCTTTCTAGTGCAAAAAAAGCCAAAAAGCGCAGAGGTGATCAAATACCGAACGAAATATATAATTCACAATTCTGTATAATATACAGGTAGTACACGAGGTAGGGTTAATAAAAAGGTCATACATGAGGGGGAGGGGTTAATATAAAAGTCATACATGAGGAGGGGGAGGGGTTAATACAAAGGTCATACACAAGGAGGGGGAGGGGTTAATATACAGGTCATACACGAGGAGGGGGAGGGGTTAATACAAAGGTCATACACGAGGAGGGGGAGGGGTTAATATACAGGTCATACACGAGGAGGGGGAGGGGTTAATATACAGGTCATACACGAGGAGGGGGAGGGGTTAATATACAGGTCATACACGAGGAGGGGAGGGGTTAATATACAGGTCATACACGAGGAGGGAGGGGTTATTATACAGGTCATACACGAGGAGGGGGGAGGGGTTAATATACAGGTCATACACGAGGAGGGGGAGGGGTTAATATACAGGTCATACACGAGGAGGGGTTATTATACAGGTCATACACGAGGAGGGGGAGGGGTTATTATACAGGTCATACACGAGGAGGGGGAGGGGTTATTATACAGGTCACTGCAGATGGGGGATGTGATCGAGGTATACCAGGGAAGGGGAAGTGAAAGAGTTAAAAAAAAAAAAAAAAAAAATGCTCCACTGATCTGGAAATGATTTATTGGTTGGTTCTTCCTCCAATGTAAAAGGGAGGGGGGCGGGGCCTCCAGTGTAAACACTACGCTGTTTACATTTGTGATCACTATGATTGGCCGCCGCGGGGATCCCACGGTAAAGAGCCAACCTGCGTACGAGGCGGCATCAAAAAGTCTGAAGACTAGTTTTTTAATGCGCCAGCAGATGGCGGCACAGGGCTGCACACACAGTCACAGGAAGCACCAACCTTCATAAGTCAGTGTGGCAGAAAGACATCGTCCCGGGAGCTGCGCCACCCTAGCCTTGCACCGCGCGTTACAAAACTAGTCTCAAGAAAGCTTTTGATACCGCCTTGGGCGGCTCTGTACACCGTGCCTGTGCGGTGACGACGGCAGTAGATGCCAACCAGCAGCAATAAATCGTTATTTGTATCAGATTTTTTTTTTTTTTTTTTTTTTCTGCTTCTCATCAGATAAAAAGTCAGAGTCAGAAGAACGAAGGCAGCGTGGGATTGTTCACGTATCCCGTTCTGCAGGCGGCCGACATCCTTCTGTACAAGTAAGTCCCTGCGTTTTTGTTTTTTTTTTAAGTGTTTTATTGCATCGCGCCGTGTGATTGGAGCATTTTTTTTTTTTTTTACCCAGCCGTTTCACCTGGAAAAAAAAAAAAAATTTTAAAGCCCGGCCCTCCCCACGTGGAAGAAAAATATATTTTAAAAATACATTCTTAATATATTCTTCCCAAATATATTGCCCTATATTTCAGATACTACAATTTGGGCCGTATTCCATATATTATTAAAAATATTATTCAGAACGCACGCTGAAGTATATTTCAGAGTGTCATTTGGAATGCATTTACAGGTATATTTAAAAAATCTGAGTTTAAATGCATTTTTTTTTTTTTAGATGTTCACAATACAGGTGCTCTGCCAGCCCCAATTATTAATTTCTTCCTTAATTCCTCGTACCCAAATGAAGTACATCCTTCATTAATTCCTTACGTTCTTGTGCCAAATGTTCCCAACTTCAATCACTGTATTTCCTCCCCTGTCATCCGGCTTTATGTTCCCAACTTCAATCAATGTATTTCCTCCCCTGTCATCCGGCTTTATGTTCCCAACTTCAATCAATGTATTTCCTCCCCTGCAATACTGCATTCCAACCCAAACTTCATTAACAATTTCCCCTCTGTCCTGTGTGTGTATTCTGGCCCAAACTTCGTTAGCCACTTCCCCCCTTTTAGGGTGACCGGCCCCCTGCTGTCTCTTGTCCTGCCTCGGCTCTTTGAAGCCGAGCCTCATTGAAGCTGAGCCCACGGCCCGCCCCTGGTTGCCAGGGCGACCGGGAAGCGTCCTACACCGGTTTTAAGAGACTGGTGTTGGGCTCTTCCCGATCATCTTTTTCTGCTGCGCAGCCATCGAGGGAGCCCAGCTGAGGCGGGACCCTCGTGGCTAAACTCTGCCTGAGACCCCAGCCAAGGGGGAGACCGCACGCTAGCCCTGCCTGAGACCCCAGCCAAGGGGGGAGACCGCACGCCAGCCCTGCCTGAGACCCCAGCCAGAGGGGAGACCGCACGCTAGCCCTGCCTGAGACCCCAGCCAGAGGGGAGACTGCACGCTAGCCCTGCCTGAGACCCCAGCCAGAGGAGAGACTGCACGCCAGCCCTGCCTGAGACCCCAGCCAGAGGAGAGACTGCACGCCAGCCCTGCCTGAGACCGCAGCCAGAGGGGAGACCGCTAGCCAGCCCTTCCTGAGACCTCAGCCAGAGGGGAGACCGCACGCTAGCCCTGCCTGAGACCCCAGCCAGAGGGGGGACCGCACGCTAGCCCTGCCCGAGACCCCAGCCAAGGGGGAGACCGCACGCCAGCCCTGCCTGAGACCCCAGCCAGAGGGGAGACCGCATGCCAGCCCTGCCTGAGACCCCAGCCAAGGGGGAGACCGCACGCCAGCCCTGCCTGAGACCCCAGCCAGAGGGGAGACCGCACGCCAGCCCTGCCTGAGACCCCAGCCAGAGGGGAGACCGCACGCCAGCCCTGCCTGAGACCCCAGCCAAGGGGCAGACAGCACGCCAGCCCTGCCTGAGACCCCAGCCAGAGGGGAGACCGCACGCCAGCCTTCCTGAGACCCCAGCCAGAGGGGGAGACCGCACGCCAGCCCTTCCTGAGACCCCAGCCAGAGGGGATACCGCACGCCAGCCCTGCCTGAGACCCCAGCCAAGGGGGAGACCGCACGCCAGCCCTGCCTGAGACCCCAGCCAGAGGGGAGACTGCACGCCAGCCCTGCCTGAGACCCCAGCCAGAGGGTGAGACCGCACGCCAGCCCTGCCTGAGACCCCAGCTAAGGGGGAGACCGCACGCCAGCCCTGCCTGAGACCCCAGCCAAGGGAGAGACTGCACGCCAGCCCTGCCTGAGACCCCAGCCAGAGGGGGGAGACCGCACACCAGCCCTGCCTGAGACTCCAGCCAGAGAGGAGACCGCATGCAAGCGCTGCCTGAGACCCCAGCCAGAGGGGAGACTGCACGCCAGCCCTGCCTGAGACCCCAGCTAAGGGGGAGACCGCACGCCAGCCCTGCCTGAGACCCCAGCCAAGAGGGGAGACCGCATGCCAGCCCTGCCTGAGACCCCAGCCAGTGGGGAGACCACACGCCAGCCCTTCCTGAGACCCCAGCCAGAGGGGGAGACCGCACGCACCAGCCCTGCCTGAGACCCCAGCCAAGGGGCAGACCGCACGCCAGCCCTGCCTGAGACCCCAGCCAGAGGGGAGACCGCACGCCAGCCCTGCCTGAGACCCCAGCCAGAGGGGATACCGCACGCCAGCCCTGCCTGAGACCCCAGCCAAGGGAGAGACCGCATGCCAGCCCTGCCTGAGACCCCAGCCAGAGGGGAGACCGCACACCAGCCCTTGCCTGAGACTCCAGCCAGAGAGGAGACCGCATGCCAGCCCTGCCTGAGACCCCAGCCAGAGGGGAGACCGCATGCCAGCCCTGCCTGAGACTCCAGCCAGAGGGGAGACCGCACGCCAGCCCTGCCTGAGACTCCAGCCAGAGGGGAGACTGCACGCCAGCCCTGCCTGAGACTCCAGCCAGAGGGGAGACTGCACGCCAGCCCTGCCTGAGACCCCAGCCAAGGGGGAGACCGCACGCATACTCCGAACTCCAGCAGGTACCTGTGTCATACTATCTTGTTCCCTGGGAGACCGAGCACCCTGTTGGATCTGTGAGTACATACTTCCCCTGTTTTGCCTGAACTGTTCCTCTGCCTCACGGTTGGATTACAAACTGTCTGCAGAGACTTTAACTTGCTCCTGGGGCTGGACTACAAGTGTTTTGGCCCTCTCCTCACTATTCCCCTAGTGGCGAGGTCACCCCCCCCCCCCCCCCCGCAATCCCTCCGATGAGTGACTGTCATTTTGTTGTCTCAATAAAGCTTTGTGTGTTCTGTCCTTCCTACCCTCCGTCACAGTCACAAATATCCGGAAAATATATTTTTAAAAATACACTTTTAATATATTCTTCCCAAATAATATGGACCTATATTTCAGATACTACAATTTTGGCCGTATTCCCATATATATTTTAAAAATAAATTTTTTAAATATTTGTGAATATATTATTAGAAATATATTCAGAACGCACGCTGAAGTATATTTCAAAGTATCATTTGGAATGCATTTACAGGTATATTTAAAAATCTGCGTTTAAATGCATTTTTTTTAGATGTTCAAAAATATCTGGAAAAATATATTTTAAAAAAAAATATATTTTTAAATTTATACCTTTGGAAAACATATTTTAATTTTACATTTTTGGAATACGTGTTGAAATAGATTTGTGTCGGCCAATATATTGTAAATAGAGGTCGCATGTATGATTTTTTTTTTTTTCTAAATATATTGGAAATATATTTCTTTTCCATATGGGTAAGCTCAGATCCGCCCCCAGTGGCTCCTCCCCCTTGCCGCTGTATATTGTGCTTTTCTTCCAGGCAGTCATGTGATGCGCTGGGTTCCGTACGTGGCCTTGTGATGTCACCGATATGGAAAAAAAATATATATTTTAAAAATTTTCTTCCGAAAAATATATTGCCGTATATTTGAAATGCTACAATGTTGGCGTATTCAGTATATTTCAAAATATATTTCAATAATATATATATATATATACACCGTACAAAAATAAATGAGAAATATTTTTTAAAATACATTTCAAATATACTGTATGTCTTTAAAAATACAAATCTACATTTTTGGAACACATTTACAAATATATGTAAAAAATGACTTTTTTATATGTTGAAAAAAAATCTGAAGAATATATTTAAAAAAATATATATATTTTTAAAAAAATATTTAAAAAAAAAAAATATATATTCCTCAGATTTTGCAATGTTACAACTGAAAACGTAAATGTAGTTTATTGTGATTTGATGTGATAGACCAGAGGTCTCCAAACTGTGGTCCTTTGCTTGCTTTTAACCAGCCCTTGGGCACTATTCCTCCCACTGACACCACCAATGGTGGGGCACTATTCCTCCACTGACACCAATGATGGGTGACACCAATGATGACTATTCCTCCCCACTGACACCAATGACAGGGGCACTATTTCCTCCCACTGACACCAATGATGGGGCACTATTCCTCCACTGACACCATGATTTGCATGCTTTTCCTCCCACTGACACCTTGGGGCACTATTCCTCCACTGACACCAATGGTGGGGCACTATTCCTCCACTGACACCGATGATGGGGCACTATTCCTCCCACTGACACCAATGATGGGGCACTATTCCTCCCACTGACACCAATGATGGGATACTATTCCTCCCACTGACACCAATGATGGGGCACTATTCCTCCCACTGACACCAATAATGGGGCACTATTCCCCCACTGACACCAATGATGGGGCACTATTCCCTCCCACTGACACCAATGATGGGGCACTATTCCTCCCACTCCATTGACACCGATGATGGGGCACTATTCCTCCCACTGACACCAATGATGGGGCACTATTCCTCCCACTGACACCAATGATGGGGCACTATTCCTCCCACTGACACCTGACACCAATGATGGGGCACTATTCCTCCCACTGACACCAATGATGGGGCACTATTCCCCCCACTGACACCAATAATGGGGCACTATTCCCCCACTGACACCAATGATGGGGCACTATTCCTTCCACTGACACCAATGATGAGGGATACCCAATAATGGGGGGCACTATTCCTGCCACTGACACCAATGATGGGGCACTATTCTCCACTGACACCAATGATGCACTATTCCTGCCACTGACACCAATGATGGGGCGCTATTCCTCCCACTGATACCAATGATGGGGCACTATTCCTCCCACTGACACCAATGATGGGGCACTATTCCTCCCACTGACACCAATGACGGGGCACTATTCCTCCCACTGACACCAAGTGGCACATAATTGTGAAGTGGATAGATAATGAGAAACGTTTTTCAAAAGTTCTTACGAATTGAGAATGGTCAGCATGTGTGGAGGGTGGGGGATGGGAAAGTGTACAGTACAGGTCCTCTGTTCTTCCATAGGCAATGTATAGGACATGCAGTGCCCAGTACTGGTCAAGCCGATTGGCTGACCAATCCTCAGTTATTGGCGGGATCGTCGGTCTGCTGTGTGCGCTCCGTGGGCCGATGGGCTTCCCTTCGTGTCGTTCGATGCTTCCGGCTTCTCTTTCACTTTGTATCGTCTCAGTGAAGGGTGTCGCTACATTGTATCTGCTGCCGAAGGTGTCATGAATAAATCAATGATTGAATTGTTGTTTTCCTCTCCCTGTCTGTGGCGTTCCTCCAGATCCACCCACGTCCCCGTCGGAGACGACCAATTGCAGCACCTGGAGCTGACGCAGGACACGGCGCGGATCTTCAACCACCGATACGGAACGTTCTTCCCCGTCCCCGCCACTCTGACCAGTAAGTGCCACCCACTCCATAACTACCCCACCCCCACCCCTACCCTACCCCCACCCCTACCCTTCCCCGTCCCCGCCACTCTGACCAGTAAGTGCCACCCACTCCATAACTACCCCTCCCCCACCCTACCCCCACCCCCCCCCCACCCTTCCCCATCCCCGCCACTCTGACCAGTAAGTGCCACCCACTCCATAACTACCCCTCCCCCACCCCTACCCCACCCTTCCCCATCCCCGCCACTCTGACCAGTAAGTGCCACCCACTCCATAACTACCCCCCCCCCATCCCCACCCTTCCCCATCCCCGCCACTCTGACCAGTAAGTGACACCCACTCCATAACTACCCCCCCCCCCACCCCCCACCCTTCCCCATCCCCGCCACTCTGACCAGTAAGTGACACCCACTCCCATAAGTACCCCCCTCCCCCCCCCCCCTACCCTTCCCCGTCCCCGCCACTCTGACCAGTAAGTGACACCCACTCCATAACTACCCTCCCCCCCCCCCCCTTCCCCGTCCCCGCCACTCTGACCCCACCCACCTTACCCTCCCCCACCCCCGCCACTCTGACCAGTAAGTGCCACCCACTCCATAACTACCCCTCCCCCACCCCTACCCCACCCTTCCCCGTCCCCGCCACTCTGACCAGTAAGTGCCACCCACTCCATAACTACCCCTCCCCCACCCCTACCCCACCCTTCCCCGTCCCTGCCACTCTGACCAGTAAGTGCCACCCACTCCATAACTCCCCCTCCCCCACCCCCACCCCTCCCCATCCCCGCCCCTCCCCATCCCCGCCACTCTGACCAGTAAGTGCCACCCACTCCATAACTACCCCTCCCCCTACCCTTACCCCACCCTTCCCCATCCCCGCCACTCTGACCAGTAAGTGACACCCACTCCATAACTACCCTCTCCCCCACCCCCACCCCTCCCCATCCCCGCCCCTCCCATCCCCCCTAACTCCCCCTACCCCATCCTCCCCCCTCCCCCTTCGTTTTTCATCTGCTTACATTCGTGTTTCATTATTATTATACAGTATTTATATAGCGCCGATAGTTCGCTCAGCGCTGTACATTATAGTGGGGGACAGAACATGAGACAATACAGTAACAATACAATACATGAGGGGTTAGAGGGCCCTGATCCTTGGAGCTTACAATCTAGGAGGGAGGGGGTGGTGGTACAGGAGGAATAGCTGTGGGGGATGGAGTGGTAGGAGGAGTGGAGGAGATCGGTTTGTTAGGTGGGGTGGGGTAGGCTTCCCTGAAGAGGTGGGGTTTTCAGGGTGCGCCTAAAGGTGAGGAGGGTAGGTGACAGTCTGATGGATTGGGGTAGTGAGTTCCAGAGGATGGGGGAAGTCCTGGAGAAGTCCTGCAGTCAGGCGTGGGAGGAGGAGACCAGGGAGCTAGAAAGTAGGAGGTCTTGTGAGGAGCGGAGATTACGTGTTGGGTGGTATTTGGATATCAGGTCGGTGAGGTAGTTTGGGGCGGAGTTATGAATGGCTTTGTACGTCTGTGTTAGTAGTTTGAATTCAATGCGTTGGGCAATCGGGAGCCAGTGGAGGGAATGACAGAGGGGGGTGGAGCCAGTGGAGGGAATGACAGAGGGGGGTGGAGCCAGTGGAGGGAATGACAGAGGGGGGGGTGGAGCCAGTGGAGGGAATGACAGGGGGGTGGAGCCAGTGGAGGGAATGACAGAGGGGGGTGGAGCCAGTGGAGGGATTGGCAGAGGGGGGTGGCGGATACGGAGCGGTTGGTGAGGTGGATGAGTCTGGCCGCTGAGTTCAGGATAGACTGAAGCGGGGATAGTCTGTGATGAGGTCGGCCGGTGAGGAGGGAGTTGCAGTAGTCCAGACGTGAGATGATAAGGGAGGGAACGAGTAGTTTAGTAGTGTCTGGGGTTAGGAACGAACGTATTTTGGAGATGTTGCGGAGGTGGAGTCTGCATGAGTTTGCCAACGATTGGACATGGGGTTGGAAGGACAGGTCTGAGTCTAGGATGACACCTAAGACTCTGGCTTGTGGGGTGGGACTGATGGTGGTGTTGTTGGTCGTGATGGAGAGGGTGGGGGGGGCACGGGCTGGGGGGAAGACGAGGAGCTCGGTTTTGGAAAGGTTTAATTTGAGGAAGTGGAGCGACATCCAGTCTGATATGTCGCTCAGCAGGTGTGTGATTCGGGCGGAGACCGAGGGGGTGAGGTGGGGGGCGGAGACGGAGGGGGTGAGGTGGGGGGTGGAGACCGAGGGGGTGAGGTGGGGGGTTGAGAGATAGATTTGTGTGTCGTCGGCATAGAGGTGGTAGTTGAAGCCGTGAGAGTGTATGAGTTGGCCAAGGGAGGAGGTGTAGATGGAGAAGAGAAGGGCCCGAGGACAGAGCCTTGAGGGACCCCAACAGAGAGGGGGAGTGAGGGGGAGGTGGTAGTGCTATAGGTAATGCTGAAAGAGCGTTGTGACAGGTAGGATGAGAGCCAGGAGAGGGCGGAGTCTCTGAGGCCGAGGGAGTGTAGTATTTTGAGGAGGAGGGGGTGGTGGACTGTGTCGAAGGCCGCAGAGAGGTCAAGGAGTAGGAGCACTGAATAGTGGCCATTGGTTTTGGCGGTTAGCAGGTCGTTGGAGAGGTGAGTAAGGCGGTTTCGGTGGAGTGTAGGGGACGGATGCCGGACTGTAGGGGATCGAGGAGGTTGTTGTCGGTGAGGTGAGAGCATAGGCGGGTGTAGACGAGGCGCTCGAGGAGTTTGGATGTGAGTGGCAGCAGGGAGATGGGTCTGAGGTTGTTCGGGTCGGTGGGGTCCAGGGAGGGCTTTTTTGAGTATGGGGGTGATGTGTGCGTTATTTAGGGGGGAGGGGAATGCGCCAGTAGAGAGGGAGAGATTGAAGATGTGGGTGAGGGAGTGTAGGATGGAGGAGGGGGGTGACCGTAGGAGTTGTGAGGGGATAGGGTCAAGGGGGCAAGTGGTAAGGCGAGCTTCGGAGAAGACCTTAGTGACCTCCTCAGTGGTAGCAAGGTCAAAGGAGTGGAGTGTTTTAATGGGGTTATGGTGGGGGGGGGCTAAGTGGGGTGGATGTCTGATCATTGGCGATGTCCTTACGGATTGCGTCGATCTTATTTTGGAAGTGATTGGCAATCTTGTGGGCGGTGAGTGAGGTGCTGGGTGGGGGTGGGGGGAGCGGTGAGTGAGGTGCTGGGTGGAGGTGGGGGGGGAAGAGAGTAGAGAGTTGAAAGTGGAGAAGAGCCGGTGAGGACAGGAGGAGAGGGTGTTGATGAGGGTTACGAAGTAGGCTTGTTTGGCGGTGTGGAGGGAGGAGGTGTAGGTGAGGAAGGCGGATTTGTAGAGGGAGAACGCTCGAGGGGATCTGGTTGTGCACCATAATCGCTCCAGCACGCGACTGCGACGTTTAAGATGTTTAGTGTGGTCAGTCTGCCAGGGTTGAAGCAGTCGGGGGCTAATGTTACGTGTGGTTAGGGGTGCTATGGAGTCTAAGGCAGCTGACAGCGAGTCGTTGTACGCAGTAGTGGCCAGGTCAGGGCAGGACAGTGGAAGGATACTGTCGTACAGACGGTCAGCTGCAGAGTGGAGGGGGGCCGGGTTCAGGTTGCGGAGGTTACGGCTGGTGATGGTTTGACGTTTGGGGGGGGAGGTGTTAGAGGACGGAGAGACGGAGAACATAATGAGGTTGTGGTGAGAGAGAGGGAAGGGGGTGTTTGTGAGGTTGTGGGGGTGCAGAGATGAGAGAAAACGAGGTCCAGGGTGTACCCGTCGGTTGGGTGGAGGACTGTGTGCTGTGTGAGTGCAGAAGAGGAGGTTAGGTGGAGGAGTTGGGATGTAGCCGGGTTGTTGACATTGATGGGGATATTGAAGTCCCCGAGGATGATGGTTGGGAGCTCAGAGGAGAGGAAGAAGGGAAGCCAGGCGAAAAGTCGTCCAGGAAGAGGGATACGGGTCCAGGAGGCCGATAGATTACCGCAATCCTCAGGGGGGTTGGGGAGAAGAGTCGGATGCAGTGGGCCTCGAAGGAGGAGAAGGATAGAGAGGGGGGGTTAGGGAGGACCTGGAAGGTGGTCAGCGGTGACAGGGGCATGCCGACCCCACCACCTCTACGACCGCTCGGTCTGGGTGAATGGGACCAGACGAGGTCTCCATAGAAGAGGGCAGCAGGGGAAGCAGAGTCAGTGGCTTGGATCCAGGTATCAGTGACCGCTAGGAGGTTGAGGGAGCGGGAGATAAAGAGGTTGTGGATGGCGGTGAGCTTGTTGCAAACCAATTGGGCGTTCCAGAGTGCACTTGAAAACGGGGGGGGGGGGGGGGTTTGGGGAGCAGAGGGACAGATATTAGATTGAGGGGGTTGCGGCAGTTTACAGAAGAAAGAGGGTGCCTTGTGGGTGAGTGAGGTGGTGAGGGACCAGGGTTCAGGGAGATGTCCCCAGCGGTTAGGAGGAGAAAAAGGTGAGGAAAGTAAGATAGGAGCGGGATGTGGAGGAGCGCGGATGTCCTCCAGTCCTGGTGGGAGAGTGGAGGATCAGGAGGAGGTGGTGGGAGCAGTGAGGGGGAGATGTACAGTTGTTAGGGAGGAGCAGAGGGATAGAGAGAGAGATTTTGGGAACGGAGGAGGAGGAGTATGAGGAGGGGGAGGAGTATGAGGAGGAGGAGGAGGAGGGGGGTATGAGGAGGGGGAGGAGTATGAGGAGGAGGAGGAGTATGAGGAGGAGGAGGAGGGGTATGAGGAGGAGGAGGAGGAGGGGTATGAGGAGGAGGAGGGGTATGAGGAGGAGGAGGAGGAGGAGGTATGAGGAGGAGGGGGTATGAGGAGGAGGAGGAGGAGGGGTATGAGGAGGAGGAGTATGAGGAGAAGTAGGAGGAGGAGGGGTATGAGGAGGAGGAGGGGGTATGAGGAGGAGGGGTATGAGGTGGCATTTTAGGAAGGTAAACGGAGTGGCGGTCAGGTGTGGAGTGTTTCCCGGGGGGCTCGGTTGTAGATGGTCGGCGTGCAGTAGAGTATCTCGTTGTATCTTCCTGCAGCTGGAGTCCTCCTTAGGTTCAGGATGGGAGGAGTTCGGTTAGATATCTTGTGGCCCCTGGGGATCTATGGCGC